ACTGTACCTTTATTTGATGAAGGAGCAGAGTACTGTACCTTTATTTGATGAAGGATCAGAGTACTGTACCTTTATTTGATGAAGGAGCAGAGTACTGTACCTTTATTTGATGAAGGAGCAGAGTACTGTACCTTTATTTGATGAAAGAGCAGAGTACTGTACCTTTATTTGATGAAGGAGCAGAGTACTGTACCTTTATTTGATGAAGGAGCAGAGTACTGTACCTTTATTTGATGAAGGAGCAGAGTACTGTACCTTTATTTGATGAAGGAGCAGAGTACTGTACCTTTATTTGATGAAGGAGCAGAGTACCATACCTTTTATGAAGGAGCAGAGTACTGTACCTTTATTTGATGAAGGAGCAGAGAACTGTACCTTTATTTGACGAAGGAGCAGAGTACTGTACCTTTATTTGATGAAGGAGCAGAGTACTGTACCTTTATTTGATGAAGCAGCAGAGTACTGTACCTTTATTTGATGAAGGAGCAGAGTACTGTACCTTTATTTGATGAAGCAGCAAAGTACTGTACCTTTATTTGATGAAGGAGCAGAGTACTGTACCTTTATTTGATGAAGGAGCAGGGTACTGTACCTTTATTTGATGAAGGAGCAGAGTACTGTACCTTTATTTTATGAAGGAGCAGAGTACTGTACCTTTATTTGATGAAGGAGCAGAGTACTGTACCTTTATTTGATGAAGGAGCAGAGTACTGTACCTTTATTTGTTGAAGGAGCTGAGTACCATACTTTTTATGAAGGAGCAGGAGAGCGCCACCATATGCTGCCGTTATTAATACACATCTTATAACAGAGAGCTCCACTCTCTCCGTGTACCTTATATTGTACAATAAGTCCTCTAGCAGTAGTGTCGTGTGTAGAGAGTCCATACTGTGTGGTGTATATAAGTATATAGCTTTAATTGTTCGTTCTGGAGCGGTTACAATCAACATTATAGCTATGCCTTGTATAGCTGCTGTGGTGCTTACTGCGCTTATTTTTAAGATCATCTTTAGTCGCTTATCTTTAGCTTCTATTTTGATAATACTATAATAATTAATAGTAATTTGATTATCCTGCTTTCAGTCATAATAATAATAGTTCGATTATCTTTCTGCCACTAATGCTCGTTCGCTCTGTTTTCTTCTACCGTTTTTACAATTCTAACCACTAGCAAGCCCTCTCTTTTCATACACCTGATTTGTTGAAAATATACTCGGCCTTTATAGACAATTATTTTTCGTTGAACTCGGGGTTGGGCTTCAGTTCAATATACCAATTACTCTATCATATAATATTGCTACTTTACTTTCTAACTCGATATAAAGAGACATGAGTTGATGAACCACATAGTGTATGTTGTTAACTTACAAATTGTGCTTAACGATCTGGCTCTGGTCCAAATACTCAAATATATCTAACAAAATCTACTGACGCTGTAAAAGCTACAGTTAAACGATACGAAGAGTTGTTTTGCTAGCACTGGTACTATTGTTATGGAGCTTCTGTATTCACACTGGAATTATTTGTTATAACTATAAGAATATAGTGTGTTATGCAGTGAGATACCGTATTATAGTGTGTTATATAGTGTGTTATATAATGTGTTATATAGTTATATAGTTGCTGTTTGATAGATCCTAGCCTAAAGATCTCTGTCTCATTAACTCATCATTAAACAATGTACCTAAATACTGCACGATCAGATGGAATGTGCACAAGATTGCCGCTCAATCGTTTAGTGTGGATTTTGCAGCTGTTTTGCAATGTGCTTTTCAAATTTGACACGAGTACTCGTTTGCATTTTCTTAAATTGTAGCTCTCAGTGATCGCCTGTCATAAGCCAGTGGGTCTGGACTGTGGATCTATTTTAATCTTGATGTTGGTCCGTACCACTCCTCAAATACCAGATGTACCTTCAAGTATCTCTGAAATACCATTATAATGAACTCATACATGTAGTTCATATCCATCCACCAGCGATTACGATCATGCATAATTATACTTCCTGTATATCTATATTCCACAACTACTCACTAATTATACTTCTTGTTTTCTCTCTTTTAACAAACTGGTAGAGGAAACTAGCGTGGTCAGCATTGTCTCCAACTCATCAGATAAACGGTAGATTATTAGCCAGACAGCCAGTGTAGACACTGAGTACATGCAGTTGTATTTCTGCTAGGATGCTGCTACACTTTGTTACGTTAATTGGCTGGTGTTCCCAGATGGTTCCGGCCAATTTATCCAGCATGATTAAATTTAGATCATTATGTCCACTGTCTCCACAAAATTTGTAGAATTGTACGTGATTATTTCGGATTGAACATGGCTATGTATTGCTTACTCATGACCTACCTATGTGACCTTAGGTACCTATACATAGGTACCTGACCTATGTACTTATGTATAGATAGTGAGTTTGTTTGATGGTTTTATCTTGAATTGTTTCAACTTGAATGGAAAATGATCAGTAAATGAACGTTTACGCCATTCATTGTTTTCATTGAGAAAACACTTACAAAAAACATTTACATTCTGCATGTATAGATACTGAGTTTGTTTGATAGTTTTATTTTGAATTGTTTTAACTTGAATGGAAAATGATCAGTGAATGAACGTTTACGCCATTCATACTTTTCATTTGAGAAATGAGACGCAACCTACATACTATTCAGGGTTTGGACTGATGCTATGTGAGGTTGTTTTGTATTCCATGTCTCTGATTGTACTCAGTATTTCTCTCATCCAATTAATAACACTCCTTTATTTTCACAACATTCCTCTCTAATCCTGTATAAGTCTCGTGTTTATCAAACACTGGTAACCTCACTACTCTATGTAACTATTGTTTGCGGTTTGTGTTTGTTACTGGTGTAACCTTTAAATTACTGGTGTTACTGGTGTAACCTTTAAATTACTGGTGTAACCTTTAAATTACTGGTGTAACCTTTAAATTACTGGTGTTACTGGCGTAACCTTTAAATTGCTGGTGTAACCTTTAAATTTAATGAGGGTTGCACTCTTAAACGTTCTCTGTGTGATCCTGTACTACTCATTCATGTACATATTATTTAACACAGTACTATACTCAGTAAACAGTAAGACAGTAGCAACAAGGATCGTTTCTATTTCGCACGTAGATGATTTTAGATAAGTAATACAGTAGCAACAAGGATCGTTTCTATTTCGCACTATCATGATTTTTTATGCAGATCCAATCCTTCGGTTTTTTTATAGATTTCTTCAAACTTACAGTTGTTCCAGTCTATTTTTAAAAGCTTGTGGTTGTGGGTTTTTTGATAAAATTGCTATTAGTATTTAATTCTGTGTTACTTTTTTAAATCCCAGTGAATTGCAAATCATCATGGTTTCTTCAGTAACTGTAGTCATTGTAATAACGTTAATGACCATAGAAATTAAAATAATTTGAATGACTGTTGTTCTTTTCATAAATGATATATATTCTGGACTTTCTCAGGGCACTAATATCCTTTTATACGCTGATGATACTAAAATGTGGAGGGAGATATCCCAAGAGGAAGACCACCATATACTTCAAAGCGATATTAATTATCTCATGACATGGGCAAGAACTAATAAGATGAAGTTTCATCCTGATAAATGTAAGGTTTTAGCTATACTTAAGAGGTGGTCTCCCTTAGATGGCATTTTACCATTTACACGTTACACTTACTCTATGGGCCAAACTCTTCTTGATTATACAGATTCTGAAAAAGATTTAGGCATAATCATGACGTCTAATTTTAATTTTAATAGCCAGGCCGATGCTCTATATGGTAAAGCTAACCAAAAATTTGGCATGCTTAAGAGAAATTGTCATTTTTTTAATGATCTGAACAAGAGAAGAGTCTTGTATCTTACTCTTGTACGCTCAATATTCGAACACTGTCCCATCATTTGGCGACCAGCGTCCAGTAGCACTATCAATAGGCTTGAAGGATTGCAGAAAAGGGCCCTCAAATGGATTCGTAATGATTACGGTGTAAGCTATAGTGTAGAGGAAATCTATAATGCCCATTGTAAACAGTTAAATATTCTGCCCCTAAAGTACAGGTTTGATTACCATGATCTCAAGTTCTTTCATTCCCTAGTGCATCAATACCACCCATGCACCACTCTGCCTCAGTAAGTCAGTACCTTACTTTCTTCTCCAGGTCATGCCGACTGAGAAGCTCACATCTTGATCACTTATCAGTAATATCTTCAATTCCACCTGGCTCAGCTATATCTAAATCTTACTTTTATCGAGCTCATCTCACTTGGAACCGACTTCCTCTTTCCCTTCGAGAGATTATCAGACCAGGTGTGTTTAAAACAGAACTTATTAAACACATCTGGAAGGAACATGTTTGTACTGCATCTGTAGATATTGACCCTAGTTCAGATCCTGACAATTCTTTTTCTCCTGACTACGGGTAGTGTATTTCTCTATTATTTTTGTTTTTATTTTTATTTTTGAGGTACTCATCACGCATTTTTGCTTTATTCGGATACAATTTTGATTTAGTCTTTTATATTCAATTATTTAAATTTTATCGTTACAACTTCATTCCATTGGAAATATTACAAATCAGCCAATTGTAATTGAGAATTTTTGGGTTGTGGCAACTATTCTTAAAAACCTAGAAATGCCTCCTAAGTTCACAGCTCATATTATTTGCCCATTTTTCTCCTTCTGCACTTGGGGCCCAATGTAATTGCTCGACTTTTCATCAGGTCTCTCGAGGCCTTTTGTTTGGTTATTTGGGTGTATTGGTGTCCCCTGATTGTTATCATCGCTGTGCACTTGTCAAGGCATTTTTTGGTTTCTCTAGTCCATTTTTAGAAATTCTATACAACATTGATATTGTAATAAATTCTGATGATAATAATTGAAAGATTTCAATAAAAAAAAGACTATCCTGATTATCCGGACTTTCCGGACTGCTCACAATATCGCAGGTTTATCATACAATGCTCTCAACTCCCACCACCCTCAGGTTTATGATCGGACACACAACACTAGGATCCAGGCGCTTATAATGGACCTTGGAGATACCCCCGACCCAGATTCCCCCAGCGTGGGAACCATCCCCAACGGTAACCCCGACTTTTACGCGGCAGTAGATGACGACGAAGACGTGGACTTACCCTACGCAGACTGTGATCAAGGAGCCACAGGGAGTGATAAGGATATCCTGACGACCACAGTGAAGTCTCATCACGACTTTGAGGTGGACCCCCAGACGTGTTGGCCCTGTGTGGGGTGTCAGGACGATGAGGTGCCCGCCACTATGAGGTGGTGCAGCGTGATGTGAGCTGCACGTGGGGGATAAGAGCTGCACGTACAGTACAATCCGCACGTGCAGATTGTACTGCACTTGCAGATTTTACTGCACGTGCAATAGATAAATAACATTAGCAGAGTCGTCAGAGATTAATGAAAAAGCATCACAAGGATCTCGCTAAGTCGCTACGAAGCTAGTATAATCAGGATGGAGAAAAATAATTTTATCAGACAAATGTTAGTCGTTGAAAAAACACGGGATAGCGAATTTAAAAAATCTTATGTGGGTTATTATGTAAATTCGGACGTGACCGCCGTTTTTTCCTGGCGTTTTTCATTCTTAACAGTTACGTTCAGTTACACCAACAATAATGCAACAACTCTAACTATCTCGGCAATGTTGTTACATGCGTCTATGCGTATTGTGTACATTTTTGATGAAATTCTATGCGGTGTGCAATGTTTTTAAAACGATGACTATAACTAAGTAAGTGTATCTTGGAGTCAATAACAGTACTTGGACGTCTTTAAAGATTTGTTTAATAGAGTAGTTCCAGAAGCCCAATTTGTTCAAATCTTTCTGAACCTTAAAGCTAACAATTAGGCGCCTTGGCTGAAAACCAACATAGAAAAATATTTTGTGTCCAGATAGGACCCTGAGAGTAAGTAAGTGCACTATTAATGTGCTTACATTTACAAGGTTAACTTTATAGTCTCATATCTCTACGACCTTACCGTCAACCTGTCTCCGCGCTTCAACCTTTAAGGTGCAGTTGCGTCTCGCAACTATTGATCATAGAGACTGGAGAGATTCGTCAAATTAGTTGCGTATTAGTGGGGTTGGAAAAACTTAATTTTTTCCTTCTATGATTGAGCTGAACAACTGCACTGCACAGGCAACATATAACTGCAGTGAATGCGGAATGGCACTATTGAACTATTGACCACACTTTTCTGCAAAATTGGCCGATTTTCGTTTTATCAGATTTTTGCAGTGGATATGTTAACCTAAACAATCGTGTAAACTGTAATGCAACGTTGCATACTACGCTGTTGAATAGTCCAACTTTTAAGCTTACATTAGGTTGAGACAGATTTGAGAAACTTTTGGTTTTTTGACCATTTTAAGAAAATTTATTTCTCAAGAAACATTTCTCTTCCTTATGCGATGGCAAGGAGATAGCTTGAGGGCTTACACTTACAGAAGAGAAATTGGCATGATGCCATGATTTGGAAATTGCCTTTATTTTCTTGCTTACAGATTCTCAGATTGAGTAGTAAAATTTACTTACACTGTAAATTTGAGAATTTCAAGATAATTAAAATTATAATAATTAATACTAATTTGCTATGAAACTATCGTAGATAAAATTAATGTATTTCAATTTCATTTCATTTTTAACCATGTGTACGCAGTAAAACAACAGTTTTTTCTTCGTTTTAATTTTAATGAAAAAACAAAGTACAATGCAAAAAGATTTTCTATAATGAATTCAATATACGGCAAATGAAAGCAATTAATATTCGAGAAACCACGTTCGGCATATAACGACACAAAATATCTAGAAAGCTCGACGGGTTTCCAGTCTATATTATATTCTCTAAGTTCTGTCACATCATCAAATTAAAACTCTACCCCTTTGGGGATGACGCTTGGGAAATCTGAAGAGGCCTTGGTAAGGTGGGTTGTGAATCAAAATAAACTAAAGCTCGCGGTTTATTAGATTTAGAGGAATATTGTTTACTATCTATCATTGTATGGTCCTAGTTCTGTATAGCAAATAGACTAAGGTCATTTTTGGGTTTAGGTCGAGGAAGCATCAATCCCACAAAGAAAGCAGAGTAAATCAGTTTAATTCCTGAAAATTTGGATAAATAAGGTTGATTCTCTAAGTTAGTTAGCTGATTGTTGATTTTTATTATAAGTTATCGTTGCCTGATTTGACCATCCTAGTACTCTTTTAAATAAATACTTACAAAATCTTTCAAATATCACGTTCAATACAGCGTCATCTATCGTGTATCTATGATGAAATAACTTTGCGCACTTTTTACTTAAACTAAGAAATATTCATAAATATTTTATTGCAGAGAATCGAATATACTCATCGTTATCCAAGTACTGTACTCATGGTCATTGGTCAAGGTGGTAATTAATTAATTAGTTAATTAATTAATTAGTTAATCCTCTGCAATAAGTATAGCTGTTATAGAAAATCCACACACTTTAATACGCAGTTGAACTGTCCCCGGTGTAAAATAGCAGGTAATGCTATGTTTATACTGAAGGGACTTAACAACAGTCAGAAATCAAGACGGCTATGCAGATGTCTTCTGAAAAATTCCAAAAACTTCACGAACACTTGGTATTTACATTAATTGGAGAAACCATAAGATTTATTACTTTTTTTTCTGAAATGTTGTTTTCACTGCATAGCCGTCCGGCCAATACATATATCATAACCCCTGGAAAGAAGAGGAAAATACCAAATAATCCGCTGCATTATTAACTAAACTTAATGGTCTACAACATCTAAAAATTTAGACCTCTCAACAATAAAATGTCAACTCCAGATAGTTGGATGGAATAAACACAAACAAAAATGTGGAGACTTCTCTCAAACGGTTAAAACCTCACAAATCAAGATATGATTTAATTGCACTAATAATCGCTTGGTAATTGTGTTAATTTTATGCGCCAGCGCTTTTTACAATGTTACGGTTCACCTCTTCCTTGCACATCAACAGAGACAACTATCAGTATGGAACATGGGGTAAGTGATGCGTTCTGGTGGAAATAGTGCTCAATCTTTTACTGAATTGTAGCTCTGACGTATGCAAAACAGAAATTTTATCATACGAAAGGTTGTTGGCCATAAATAAAAAGAATGCGAATGTCATGGCATAAAATGGAGAGGTTTAATCTAGAGTTCGAATAGTGATGAAGCTATTTTTAGTGGTTGGTGTTCCTACTTCCTGTTGCAAGACGGCAAGGAATCGGTGATACAATCAATGTGAAATCAGCTTGAATCAATAGATCAGGTAACTGTAGCACAGGTACCGGGATTACCAAACAACACACTTGAAATCCCTGGCAACAGCCCTGTTACTGTGGTAACACACTCTTGTATCATTGGATCTGACGTTGCACTATACACAAAAACTTACAAAGTTTCGGCGGGGAGCTCTTGTTGACATCCCAACTACACATATTAACAGCAACAGTTAACACATTGAACTTCCCATAAATTCACAATTCACAACAACATAGACCTATATTTTCACCGCGTGCACGTGCATGTGCACGTAACATGTGCACGCAACAACCAAACTTTATAGCTATTTAGTATTTACACACATCATTATTAATCGTATCAAAAATGATGAAACCTATATGCCTTAGAACGTAACAATATACTGCAGTTTAAAACCGATAAAAGATAAAGGCTTTAGTTTACCCGCAGCTGCACTGAATATGTTTAATAATACAGTATTATGTCTGACAAAGTGTTGTCCCCAACACTTACTCTACCCTTCGTGCCGGCTTAATTACCAAAACGATCTTCTCACCATTCTCCTGGAAGCTAGACCGTTGCCGGCAACTTCAGCCCTTTTAAAACTGCTGCAGCTGGTGTGGCTGTAGCCCGTAAGCAGAGGCTGCCGAGGCTGCAGCAGCATAAGCTACGGGATCTAGAGCTGTTTGCTGGAAGAGGGCTGCCTGGTTGAGGTCAGGGTAAGCAAACATCTGTACCATGCCAGCCTGGGCAGCTGCTGCGGAAGCAGCTTGTTGCTGGGTAGGGGCGGCCATTAGCAGCGAGCCTGAAATAATACACGTCAAATTAACAACGTGTTACTTGCACTGAGTGTTGTGACGAATAACATGTTGTAGTAATCTCACAGCTGCCCCCCATGATAAGAGCTTATCAAGTGGGAGCGGGCAAATCTAATTTTCTAATCTACAAATCAAACCAAAGGTAAGAATCACAACAACCATTGGGGAGAAAGAAAAGGTGTCATGTGGGATAATTTCATTACGGATAGTGTGAACAATTTTTCGTTGGATCAGCGGTTTTATTTTACAACCTGAGATAAAGCAAATTTGACCAGATGTTTGACAAAGAGACGATGAAGGCATATTTTTAAAAGTCAATAGACTTAAAGAGTCAATGAGACAGTTTATAAAAGAGGACACATGGAAGCATCAAGAAGAAACGTATAAAGATTATGGAATTATGCGGATAAGAAATTGGCAGCCAGCTAAAGATCTGCATACATGCACAAATATAATAGAATCTTAGAGAATGCTCAGAAACAGATTAAGTTGTACAGAAATTAAGTAGTTGCCCAGTTCCACTTACAAATTGGATGTGGAACTGCGACTACCAAAATGACTGTACAACAATTATGCAGGCTTGAGGCTATCAAGATAGGCGATTTAAGATACCTTAATAGGCCAAAAAGGGAGCAGAAGTAAAATTATGGAAACTAGGAAGCTTGTCATTGCAGGAGTGGTTACTTAGAAGAAGGTTACTTAAGGGGGCTACACGCTAAGAAATTCTGGAAGTAGGTGAATGGAAGCTTGTATGGGTTCAGGTTTAAAGTTAGAAGGAATACAGGCTCAGGAAAACATAGCGGTAACAGTTTAGTGAGTTACACTAGGTTTACAGGTATCGAGTTCATTTCAAGGAGTGGAAACTTAGGGGGTTCGGTAGCAGCTTAGACTTATAGGGGACAAAGACTTCGAAGATGCCCATTTATGGACCAACAGTGTACTGAATGTACTTAAGTTATTTTCGACAATGGGAATGATGTGGAATCGTTTGACACTTTTCTTAAAATGTATTGATTTATTTTTCCAACTCCTTCACAATCATGAACCTTTGAAATCATTGCAAATTTCACCATTATAATATTATATCGAAATGATTTCTTTACGTTTAAAATATGGATCAATGAATTCTGAACACTTCTGTGGATGCTATAATCTGAAATCTGGAACATTCCCCGCAAATAAAAAGCAATTAAATGGCTGGAATCTCGCGCCACTCACAACAACAACTAGCACAGGAAATTATTGTTAGCGTTTTGCCAAACAAAAAATAAATCAGTCTCCGTCAACATTTTGGGTATTATTAAGATTTATACGAGTATTAAAGAATTTTGATTCAACATCTACTTCTAGCTCAGCCAAGAATAATTACAGCCAATCATAATCTCTAAACTTATTGGAAATTTAAAACCAATCAATAAGCTAATAGTATGGTGATAATCTTTTAGTTAGACGTTTAGCCAAATTAAAACATCAATGTATGAATTCTCAAAGTCTTGATTAAGTGAACGATCATAACTCTTTATTAGCTGGTCTAAAATTTAGACTCTATAAATTGTATTAGTCATAGTATACCTACGGGGCACATGTCATTGAAACCAAATTTGTGGAGTCTGTTTTCAATTTCTGTGGTGTCTGCAAAAAATAAATAAGTGGGTTTTTTAGATATGGGTTTTTATATTACTAGAGAAACATCGCACTCTGTGGTGGCTGCGAAAAATAAATAAATGGGTTATTAAATATGGGTTTTTTATATTACTAGAGAAACATCGCACTCCGGATAATATATTTATTACTTCACTCTTCGTCAGTCGATTGAAAGGTTGGTTGAAAATTTGGATTGAATAATACCATATATGGTCGATATTATCTATGTTTTCTCTGGCTAAGTTTAGCTTTACTTTTTAAGTAATAATAATAGTGGAAAGGAGAGTATATGACTTCTATTGACCATATATATGGTAGTGTTTGATCATACTTAAACTTTGCAACCAACTTTTTATCGACTGCAGACGACCAATGAAGACATATATATGGTAGCTGATCTCGGTCCAAACTAATAGGACGTGACCACACAGATTCCGGAGTTGCATGCACGCTTACGATATAATTCAATATAACAACCCAATTCCGACCAACAATTATTCCCAATGTTCATTAATTGGTACAGAATCCGCGATTCAATATTTCACCCAAACGATCCTGATATGTGTTAAGGATGTATTTGAAAATGCGAGCTGATGTAAGATAATGCGGGCATTACTAGTTATATTACTGATAATAAGAAAGTATGAATGTATTGAATCCTTAAAAATACACCGGAGGAACCGGGAAAGTCGAACCGCCCTTGACAGCGGCGGTACCATGTGATAAAACTGGGATTCTCTACCCAGTTTTTAAACATTTCACCAACTGTGAGGTGTAAAGGCAAAATGCAGTCTCCTTCAGCAGCGTGCACAATTATACGAAGTGCTGCAGGAACTTGAGATACATTCTGCAGTGTATGCGCTCGCTCAAATCTTATAAATCCCTATAATAAAGTGCTATAAAAGTATAAAGGGATGAAGGATCGTCGTGAATCATGGAGGAGACATTACAATAACTAATTATAATGTCTCTAGTTAATCACTAATGAGACTTACCATCTAGACTACAGTTCATCTGTTGGAGGGTGTACTCAGCTGCGTAAGTCTCAGCTTCTTCTGGGGTCTTGCATATCTTGTTGGGGACGGACTGGTATCCGGGTAGGTTTGCAAATGAAACCTGGGGAGAGGGAAGGGGATTAGTTTTTGCAGACTAATTTGGTGTTTGACAGCACATTTAGTCGTTATATTTGTGTGGTTTTAAGAGATGGCCAGCTTCGAGGGAGATATTTGTTATTGTCAGGACTCAGGCTATATAGTTAGTTAATTGGGAGGAAGACAGGTTGAGGTTTGGTAATTGTCCGAAGATATTCGACATCAGGGAAATACCAAATGAACGAAAGAATTCAGGGGTTCATTATTGATACCATTTTACTGGGCATAATAAGTGTTAACAGTATAATCAGAGTTAGGGTGGATGCCTTGCAGTGTCGTGTCTGTTAACAAATGAACTGTAGATTTACGGGTGAAAGAGTAGCCAACATTTTCCTACAACATCCTGTACACTTGTACACTCCAGCTGGAGACTGTAGATAGTTACCCAGTAAAACTGTAGCCTTCCTACGACTTGATCAGCCGGGCTCACTGCTACAATGTTCTCATCTGCTCAAGAGGAGATTTAGAGCCGATCATACCAGGTGGTCAGGTATCATCCTCCCTGCCACTGGAACACCCTTATCAGCCCCACGTGCTCATCACGTTACGCCCACTAACCAGTCCCGGGGCTACAATTACCTCCTCGATCCACTGTTAGCGTCAGGAGACTATATTTCTAGTGCCTCCCCGTTCTAACTCTGGGGTCGGGTTTCATAATGGAAAAAATATCAGCTCGGTCTGTAGCTTTATTTCATTATACGTGCGATCTGATGGTTTCTGTAATCTATAAGGCTGGCAGGGCAAGTTAGTGGAAGACGAAAGTCAAAATTAAGGAAGGGTTTCTCCGGCTCTCCATTGTGGATGGGTTTTAGTGATAAGAAGTTCAATGACCGGTTAAATTAAGCCACGTTGGTTAAATCACTAGTGGGATTTGAGGGCGAATTCGCATATGGTGGAAGGACTAGTATATAGCGTAAAATTCAATGCAAATCATAATTAATATTTGAAGATAAAACTAGAACATGTAGGGGTGGTGGGGTTAATCAAAATAACATAGCTTGCACCCTTGGTAGGGCCTATAAGACACTCAGCATTAAAAACAATGTTACTAACATCCACATAACAATCTCAACAAACTCAAATCTCTCCAAATTTCTGATGTTTGGAGTAAAATCATGACACAATCCAAAAATTTGAGCCAGTGCAGTTGACTATAAAATGATAAATTATTGAGGCAAAAACATTGAATTACGAATTGGTTCTGATAATAAGCAGTACAACACATGCCCATCCACCAATCACGGGGTTCACACTGATATACCGAGTAGAATTACCTTGTAAAGGTACAACAAACTGGGCCAGTCCTGCACCTTTACACTAAACAGCTCATATTTAGGAGTGCCCCAGTTGTTTTTGGAGGCCACGTCTTGCAAAACCTATAATGAGGGGGAGTGCTGCTTAAAATGGGGGCTCTTGGACAGTGTGACACTAATGCCACACTAATCTCAGCAAATAGGTATCGTAATATGTGCATATCATGCTCATATTATAACTGCATATGCTCACATACACTGTACAGGCTGTTTCAATGACAATCAGTAAATGTTCACTTAGCGCAGGGTGGCTCACCTGGATTGGGGACTTTGCACTCTCTGGGGGTTTGAGGGTGTAAGCGGGGGCCGCAGGTGTGAGTTCCATCCCGGGGATTAGATCAAACATCCGCTCCTGAGAGAGACAAGGTGTGATAAGGTGTGATTATTATGGTGTGATACACACATGTAACACTGTATCTAGGCAACAAACATGCACCACACTATACTCACAGGTCCGTCTAAGCCTCGTTTCCGTTTAGGATCGTACCAGTAGGCAGGGACCCCGTATAATGGTGTTCTGCCGTGACTGCTGGTGCTGGTGGACCCTGAGTAGGCTCCTCTGGCTCCCCTGCTCCCTGCGGCTCCTCTCAGCGGCCTGCCTCGTCCTCTGAAACAGACAACAAGTTAGTTACGTTTATTAGATACTTCTTTATTTGGATATACATCATCATGGTATTATGTGCTATGATGTGCGTCATGGGATAGCGTGAGAAAACTCCTCATCTGACATCACTAATCAATAAGTGATTACGTTAATCACTGATCCTTCACTCTAGTATCAAATCTAGAATGTTTAAATACTGGACAATAACCTTGGGTACTGCTCAGCAGCTTTTGAACGAGTTCCCGGAAATATGCCAGACTATAAGTATAATAAGCTAAAAATGGAGCTTATGCTGATTCAGGAGTCTACAAAGTAGAGAATAATTAGAAATCAGTCTATTTATCAGTTGACAGGGGCCCACATCCAGAAAATCAGAAAGACGGCAGATAATCTGGATTTTGGAGCAAATTTGGTGCCAAAGAGGAAATTTTGTTTCCTTTTTTAGGACATAAGAACCTTTTCACAAAACTTTCTGGATGTGGGGACTCGGTAGTCTAGAAGATCTAAAAATCAGTATATCTAAAAATTAAAAACTAAACATCACCAACGTGTTATCTAATAACCTCATTCCAGGACTCTGCTGCTGCTGAACATGGGAGGCAGTGCTGAAGTTCTGAGGTTGCAGCTGGTTTACATTAGGGAGGACGAATGGCTGATAGGCTAGAGCTGTGGGGAGGTTCATACTCAACCCATACTGAGCGTAGGGGTTGAGTTGAGGTATTGAGGCTACAGCTGCAGCGGCTGTGGCCGAGGTAGGGTTCATCATTAGTTTGTTCCTCGTGTGTCTGGCGTATGTTTCACGGTCCACTGGCTTAGCTAGAGTCACCTGAAAAACATTAGATAATTTAATTGTTTGCGGGTTGCTGGGTTACCCACTTGGCCCTCATTAAATCGTCACTCTCCCTCTCAGATTAAGACTCTCCCTCTCAGATTAAGACTCTCCCTCTCAGATTAAGCCTTAGTTTTTGCTAGCCGTGGCTCACAACCTACACACTTTACACTGCAAGGCACTCCCATAAAATATTGCATAAACTCATGTCAATCTGAGACCGTGTAAAGACGTAACCAGGTGTTGTCACTCTCACTTTTATTGGTCTGTACAATTTATCTAGTCTCATAGAGAGAGATAGAGGGATTAGATTCCCACACAATATCGCCAATCCGTTTAGCGTGAGGACGACGAGACTATTTGTGTCACGTGACGATTGGGCGACTATTGTTCGAATCCGAAATTAGGTTTTTCAGACAATAATTACAGTCGGTTCCCATTTTAAAATTTTCTTGAAACTTTCCAGATAGTAATATGGCTGTAAAACAAATAATCTGTGCAAGTTTGGGCGAATTTCTATGTGCCAAATTTGAGATATCCCCTCAAACACATGAAAATAGTGCTGTCGGACAAAAGCTGCGTTACCCACGTGACACGTGACACGTGACACGTACTGTGCGAGAGAGCTGGCACTGGCCACATACTCGATACAACGGCCTGAGCTAGTTTCTCTCAGAAATAATATGTAACAAATCCACAAAAATTTGGTGTAGTAACCTCGCTAACTAGGGAGCGTTGATTGCTGTCAAGTTTTATGAAATTTACAGGTGCTACTGCGCTCATGAGTGCTTATCTTGCCACGTACTCAGAGAGATTCATACAACATGTGCCAGGAGCAATGAAGAGTATTGACAGAATTACAGCAAATAGTTCCAGTGTTAATTTAGGATTACTGATTGTGTCAATTGTAAAACTGTGTTAATTTGATCTAATCATGTGACGCGTCATTACCTCAACTTCGCACCCATCAATTTTTGTGGCATCAATAGCCTGCTTTGCTTTTCTGGCATCCTCCTTCGTGGTGAAATGCACAAACGCGTAATCTCTGATCTTCTTGACTCGCTCCACAGGGGCAATCTTCTGGAACACTTCTGCTATGGTGCTTTCTTGGGTGTCTATGTGTAGGTTTCTCACGTACAGGACTTTCACCTGGAGAAGGAAGTTTAGTAAGAGAAGTCGAGTAAGAGAGATCGTTTAATTAGACAGCGGCCTGCCTGTTTTAACGTCATCTTGAGAGAGGGTGCACTTAGAGGGGTTTAGTCAGGAGATCTGTCAAGAAGTCAATTTAAACATGCTGGAAGTGTCCAGAATATGTTGACACCAAGCATCAAGCTCCGTCATCTACTAGGCTGTTTCCTGATTAAGATGACACGATTCGCTGTGGATGGATAAGGGCCAAGAATTCCCGTCATTTACTCAGAGTCATGTGACAAACAGTACCTGTTGCATAATGTCGTCATCTACCTCCAGCTCTGGCTCTGCCCAGTCCACTGCAATAGAGTGTCCCCACAATGTGAAGGGTTGGGGAATCTGAAATTAGATTCTGTTAATCATGTGATTCAGAGGTCATGAAATCGTGTTCAAATCTTATCTTTTTTCAAGTTCCATTATAATGCCACCTTCTTTGTTGGGATTGGAAATAATAATAAGATTGGCCGGTTTTTTGTAGAAAATAAAAAGATAAGCTTTTCTAATCAATTTAAATGTGGTCCTTTTATTCGATCGTAATCAAATCTAGGTTTACGTGGAAATCTAATCTTACGCGGAAACACACTTTGTGGCAGGGAAGTGGCACTGGCAAAGTAACAGTTGTTTTGTCTAATTGGCTACCAGATGCATCACATGGAGTGATTCCGCCCGGAGATATTTGTTGTGAAAATTGTAAAAGTCAGGCGAGCAATGAATTATTTTTTGCATATAAAAACCTGGTCGAAATTCTTGGAAATTATTATACCTGTCTAAGAAGCTTTCTTCTGGCCATAGCCGCTGAGCGATGAGAATCGTACTCAACGAAAGCGAATCCTCGGTTTTTGCTCTTGTCATTCGCACTTGGATAGACTATAACGTTTTGGACTCCGTCAGTAATCTGAAAAGTGGGAAAGGTTGAATAAATAGTGCAATAACTTTACGATATTGATTCGTCAAAAACTCTAAGAATTATTTTTTCAAGGCATCACGCAGTGTGGATAGTAGGTTACACTGTTACTGTTAGACAGTTCAAACCTTAGTAACTTAAATAAATAATCCGTTAATTCCTCACCTTTTGCATCTCAGCAAGGATCTGTTCCCGGACCACAGTCTTAGGAATCCCTCCCACAAACAGTCTGCAGTTGTCCACACTTGGGCAAACCCCGATATTCTTTCCTCTGCGAATCTGAACAATTCACAATTTAATTTCCCGAAAAAGGACAAAATAAGATGTTTCATTAATAAGTATAAGTTTATACTAATAAGTATAAATTTGTACTAATAAGTATAAGTTTGTACTAATAAGTATATTGATAAATTTATACTAATTAGTATAAGTTAAACTTGATGAAGTTTTTCATATGTCCTAAAATGGCATTTAGTCCACTTCTGTAGTCTGCACAGTGGAAATTGGGGTGGTACCTCGTTAAGCTGCTCTCCAGTCTTAATGCTTTTGATGGAACAGTTGACCTCAAAGAGATGGGCGAGACTATAAAGTTAATTATTTGAAGCTAATATTGACGTACCAGCTGTCAAGTATGACAACCAAGTGCACTGATTAAACGTCGAAGTGCCGTGACGCATTAATGCCTTTTTTCATAAATTACATATTAAATGGTTATGATTGAAATCAAGATTTACTCGAAGGCCATCATTTATTTCTAAACCATCGTGTTAAAGCCCTCAACTGGTGTTAAAACTCTCAAATAATATACAAATCCTTGTGCGAGATCCCCAAAACATTCATCAGTTATACCTCATAGTTGTTCAGCATCCTCACAGCATTCTGGGCCTCTTTCTTTGTTGAGAAGACGACGAACGCATAACCCCTGTTGTTCCCATTAAAGTCCATCATGAGCCTCATTTCGTAGATCCTCCCGTGTCGGGAGAAGAGAGGAACTAGCTCATCTTCGTAAACATCCCTGGGGATCTTACCCACGAATACCTGAGAGGTGTTCGTAATGTGCACATTTTAACCAGACCAGAGGTTGCTCTTTTAATAATGATGCATCTAAACATAGTCCTACCCCGCTACTAGTACTAAACAGAGTGGACGCATAAAGCTGCACAACTAAACAGAGTGGACGCATAAAGCCGCACCAACTTAACAGAGTGGACGCATAAATCCGCACCAACCTCAGCTCCCTTAGGAGGGCACCCCTTCCAATCTGGAGGGGGTCCGTACTTCCTCTGTCCGTTAGTCTGGGAGATGGGGTACCCAGTCCTGCTCATCAGTTCCACTAGTTTAGGTTCTGTGGGGGTGATACCCTCCTCTTCATCTGATAGGGTCCGGGTGTGTTGTCCTGGAGACGTCATGGGGACCGCACTGCTGTTCGTCGCCATGTTCTGTCGGGACGAGGTCACGTGTTATGTTATTTGAGAGGTGGTGTTGGGTGTTGGTGGAGTGTGGTAGTGTTGCAGATCCATTTACACTGAAACTCTGAATAACCTTCCAGCCTAATTCAGGAATTTCCTTGGATATCGGAGATATGAATGCATAAAGCATATATTCCGGTTAAAATCACAATATGAATAAGGGTTTAACAGGTCCGGTATTCAAAGTTACATTGTAAATCTCACTACTTCACTACGGGCGAGCTTTATACCAGATTTGAGTTTTGAGCTTTGCAAGGGGGGTTTGGTGAGGGTTCAAGTACCATGTGGGAGTACATTTATTGGGTTTAGTTAGGTTTAGTCGGGATTTAGACAACAGTTTGTAAAATTGTCAGGTTGTGGGCTGTGGCTAGTAATTTGAACCCGGAACTACTTTCGAACAGCTACGTAATTGTTAAGTTAAGAGCCCATTTGAAGTGAACTACAATTGCATGATCCTGGATTTGTCATTCTTCGTACGGTAACCCTAACAACTGGGCAGATATTCTGGGATATTGAAGGCTTTGCTGTGAATATTGAATTACACCCGAGCTTTCTAATACTCAACTGCCAAATTACCCGGTTTGAGAGCGCCTATTTTGATGCTCTTGTCAACTAGATAGTTAATGGAACTTAGGTTGAGACCTGTTACCGATGCTGGTTATATTTAAAACTCAATTAGTTGAAACTGAAGTTTAACGGCGCCGAGACCCGCCGAGGGCTTGACATTTAATATGATCAGTTTGTCGCGACTTTCAACAGTTGATCTTAACCCGAATTGTATCAAAACCTGCCCGGGTGTGACTTCACAGGTTAATTAAGTTTAATTATTTCATGTAACCCTCACCAATGACCGGTTGTAACATCATCCTAGGTCTGTGAGGTATTTTGGAGCAAAGATATATAAATATGAATATATCAATTGATTGATCAATCCAAGGAAACAATAAATCATCATTGAAATCAAGTCCTGAAAAATCAGGGAAAGTGGTGAATTATCAGGTGCATGTCACGAATCATATAATCACACGAACTTTTGGGGTGATAAAATAGATATTAGAAGTGCCGAAATATATGTCATTGGGTGCCGAAATATCACATTTCCCTCATGTCTACATGAATTAAAACAATCATCAGAACAAACATCATAACACCGTATGTATATTGCTTGGAGCTGTGCGGGATCACATGTAGGATCAAGGGATCAGATCACTTGATTAGAGACTGATCTTGTCAAGAACACTAAAATCTACAGAAGATAGCAGAAGGAGAGAGGAAGCTCTGGGTATTACCAAATATCATGACCCTCTTAACCCTCCAACACGTAGAGGGTGTTGTTTGAACACTTCTGAAACAGGAGACAAATAGGGGCCGACCAGCGAGCGGACCACCGACGAAGAACCGTTGAAAAGGTCAGATTTACCCTGACAAACGAAACAAGGTGTGCCCAGTGGTACTGGGGTCCGAACTGCGAAACGTAGGGGTCCCCATGTGGAGCCATCTGGTGAGCGAACACTGTGAGTGCACGAGCAATACTACTACAACGAGAGAGCTTATAGCGTACAAACTACAACTATAGCTGGTGTATAATAATGAAACTAGAGTAAGTGGTAAAGGCCAGATCAAGTTACCGAGACCTTATATCACGGTTCCCAGCTAGGGTAGCTGTGCTTTGCAGCTCTGTACTGCCGCCCTGACCGAGGTCATGTGACACTGCTAGCTGTCACACTGCCGGATCATGTGGTGAAGTACGGCAACTTATCTCAGCAATTACACAGCTACAAGTGACCGATAATAGTCCTGTAATAAGAGCTGAGGTTGGGGTTCTCATGTGACTATTATCACCCGGTAGCCCCGGGCTAACACCGGGTTTAGACAGTGTTGCTAGGTGACTGGCTCACTGTTGCCAGGTTGCCAGCTATCTGAGAAGCCATAATGCCTGTAACTACTAGTAGAAAGGTATATCGCGTCGGCGGCGACACACAGATCAATACCACTCAATACCTGGGTGGACTGCAGCTGTAGAGCTGTGGAGAAGGTGTGACGTAGTTGTATGTTTTGTGTGAGTGTGTGACGAGTAGTGACAGAACTGACTGCCAAAAACACGCTCGGATATATACTCAAGTGATCAATTAGCAAGGCCAACATGGTGTGATTCTTTGTGGGGGTGCCGGTAAAAGGCAGCGCTTTCAACAGCGACTCTTCATTCCTTCACACCCGCCATTTGACGACATTTCCATGTGTTTAAAAGTTGCTACAAAAATTTGTAGCAGCGAGGTTCATTAGCCGACAATATAGTTTTACATTGTCTGACTAGGGCTAACGCTTGTTCAAGGGCTGATGTTAATGACCGAGTGCAGGGTAAATCTGATACAGGAACCCGGGCCAGAACCCGGTCCCTCATGCAGTTCCTTTAGTCTTTATGCTATGATAACACAAAGACCGGCTCTCTTCCTTCGCCGATGATATGGTACGGTGAGCAGATTAGATTAGGAGTAGTGGTGAGATTGTACCACGAAGGGGACCGAATCAACTCAAAAAATAATGATAATCACTAATGAGAGCCAATTAAGATGGGATTTATCAGCATCACATCGTCTGAAATTAATTAAAAGAGAACCGGAATAGCGTCTTATCATTGTACGGAGAATTTAATTAATCATCCGGTGATTAGTGATAATCAGGGTGTTCCTAGAATCAAGGAAGTGGCTAGGGGGTGAAGTCCAGCGGTGGGGCCCAACGTACCGAATCAACAGAGCTAGTAACAATAGAGGATCTCTCTGCCTCCCCGCAACTGTAGTCCGCAGTAGAAACATCTGTTCCACTGTAACTGGATACATCTTTTAATTTTAGTTCCGAGTGACGTGGAGCGTGCACCCTCCAATCAGCGCGTCTTTATTTGTGCACGTGGTCACGTGATCCGTCACGTGCTGGATAATCAATGTAATTGGGAGCTACTGGCCAGAACGCTGGTCCTCTAATATACCTGGTGTGCCACTGGTAGCTGGGGGCCGCTGCTGTGTAGTTTCAACTTTCAGGTTATAGCTACATTTTACAAGTTCATCCACTGTACTTGTATCTTCATATAATTGGTAGGCGATATCATGTGTCGCAGATTGCGAGGTACCGACGTCTTACAAAACATTATTGGATGAGTCGTAAAGTCATTCGCCTCAAAAATAGTTGACGACTATCATTTGAAGATGTAAAAGTGCGTCAAAGGAAATTATTTCAGGCATAACGGATATGACGCAAGTCTGTACTATAAAATTGAAAAAAGCGTGAACTTGGAAACTTCACCGAATGGAAATATTGAACTCACCTCATGCATTGAGTACGGGTACTGGAAGTATGAGGCCGGGAGCATGATTTCACGATCAGGCTCGATTTACAAAATATAACGAGATATACAGCGAGGAGTATAAAGAGACGAAAGAATCAGAACAGTGCAAACATTGACACTCCTTGACGCTCTGGCTATAAGTGTAGTGCTGTACTAATGCAGGGTTTCATCTCGGATATGATATATTTAAATTCGGGGACCCCCCTATAGCTGCTGTTTCAACTGGAGCTGTACCCTGTTAAACACATTATAAACACGGCTCAGTTCGGCTATTGGCTACCTGGTGCGTGTTGAAGTGAGGGTTATATAGGCACATACAGCGTATTGGGATGTATTGAATATTCCTCATATAAGTGGTACTGGTGGGTGTAGTGTGCCACCAGATTGACGGTTTGAATATACTATTATATACTTTATACGAACATGACAGGGGCCGGGGTCAGGTATCAGACACCGGGTGATGACTTGTATGATAGGGTGTGTTGAGGGACTGGGATATGGGGGTTTCTGGGGTTTCGCTCTGCAACTCAAATCTGGGGTTTAATAAAGCTTACCAAATGTTGATACGATAAGGGCAATTTCGAAAGCTTTTAAACGTTTTTAAAACGTAAAAAGTTGACAGGAAGCAAAAATATTCTCGAATATACCAACAAAAAGCAGGAGTCTGACTTCAAAAATAAGCCAAACTTCAACAAAAGCAGCTATGAGATTTGTAATAGTGGCTGGGGAGGTCTGGAGAGGACGCTGCCACCACCACCACCTTGCACACTCACACAAGGTACCCAGCCAATACTCACCCTCTCCGTCTTGTGAACCCGGCTTATCAGTGTAACCTAATACCGGGCTTATACGTGCTCCTCGCTTACCATAACTCAATAGTCTCCGCCCATTGGTTCTCCAGAACTGATCTCTGCGCTGATTGGCTGTCGTGGGCCCACGTGCCCGGTCATATGACACGGTCGGGTGATATTTTCTGAAAATTGTAAAGTTTTGGGTGACTTGAGTAAGAATTCTACGTCGATACTTTTTGAAATTCAATCTCTGACCTCAGCAGGTACGGTTTACCACCCTTATTCTTCTCGTTGGGAGTAAGTGTTGCCCCCTTTTACTCAATTTATCTACAGAGAACAACACTTATTGTCACATTTTGATCAACAATTATAGCGACATCATATTGTAAGGTGAAATCTCAACATAATTAAATCCAAGCTGTCAAATATTTTTTGTGAATTGATTGCATTTGGTAATATATTCAATATTGACGTGATGATGTATAACCTTATAACTTTGACCCTAAAATATAGCAGTGTATCTCACAACACCTGCGCAGTGTAGTCATTATTCTGTCACATATCCCCCAAACATGTACAATTACAAATGGAGTTAATATCTTGTCACCGCTCCTGGTTACAAAATATTTATTTACATAAAGATGAAAGGAAAAAGTTGAAGAACCCATTAATATTTGAAGTACCGATTTAGTTGGTTGATGGAATTGGAACGTTGTGATATTTTATCAACAAATATGGGTACCGTAAGCTTCATATTATATGGATCCAAAAACCTTGTCAAAATTGAGCGTCATCATGGCGAGCTTTGATAAAAACACAGAGGAAAAGCCATTATATAACATGATATTCCTGCTTCCTCATTAGATGATCCCTTTTAATCTACGTAAGTAACAAATTTGATTGCATTGCTTTGAGTCAATGGAATTCAGTATCTTAATACTTAAATAATCTGACACATTCAGACTCCAGAGCCTGTCAAACAGAGTTTGACAGGCTCTGGAGTCTGAATGTGTCAGATTATTTAAGTATTAAGATACTGACTACCATTCTCTCGATGTAAATAATATAAATTTGATGAAGTGGGGACGTGGTGTCAGTAAAATCTTAAAATGGCAACAGAGTCTATAAATAATAGTAAGATGTCACAAAGTGACAAGGCTATCAAGCCTTCAGGCTTCACAGTTCACTGCTCACCGATAAAAAATAATGAATTTTATGATTGAGAATTTTTTGGAGTATAAGAGAAAAAAATAAAAAGTTTATTCTGTGTATAAATTGATTGAAAAGTAATTGTTATTTTAGGTTACATGTTTATAATTGACCCGATAACAAATAATGGTCTTCAATGATTTTAAGAAAACTCCAACAAGTCCTGTCTTCACCGAGCAAGAGAATGAAGTGAGTCTCGAATGTTGGTAATAGCAATATATATATTTTATATGTTCAATGTTACTCTGAGCAGTGTATCTAAGGTACTCAAATATTACTGGGCGGTGCTCAGCCTGTCATTCCGCAATATCTTCTATGTTTATGAACGATCAGCCTGGGGTTCCCAGATAACTCAAACGTTTTACGCTGCTGACTTTCACTCTGATTGTTTGCATTACTAAAATGTTGAAACGTTTATTCTATATGACATATTGAGTTGGTCACCTCTGCAGAGCGCTCCACAGACTCTCCCACTCCCTCCTTCCTCACTATATACAGTCTGTCTCTGGACCCAGCCCCCTCAGGATAGTTCGTAATGGAACACACGCTGGTCTTAAACCCCAAAGTAGATCTCCTCAACTGTCCCGCACTTGCCACACTCTTCTGACCTGACTCCAGGATGTTCAGGGACAGCTTCACATCCACCAGCTTCTTTGGAGCGAACCCCTGCAGGACGTACAGTACTGGGTTAACACTGGAACTGATGTGCATTAGAAAGTAGGAGCTCACTATAGCCCGCTTCATCCACGGGTGGAAGGGTGGCACGAACAAGCTCTTCTTAATGTTGAACAACATCTTTATAACCAGATACGGTAGAACGGAGATGACGAAGACCAGCATGACTATCACGGCAATAACAGTCAGCTTCTGGGCCGGCTTCCTGGAGGACTTGGAGCCCGCTCTCAGAGACCTGCCCCGGTTAGAGAAGATCAGCACAAGGTTACATCCTATGAGACACAGCATCCCACCCATCCCTATTATCTTGTCCGCTGCGTTGAGGATCATGGAGAAGCCGGACTTAGAGTCGTGGTACCCGTACAGCACACACTGGCCCAGCCCTTGGTTGTACACGAACCGTTGGAGATAGAGCTTGGGTATTGAGATCAAGCCTGTTAGAACCAGTCCTGAAATTGTTCAAACTTGAATTTTTTAGATTCGGCATTTTCAAAAAACTTATAATTGAATGCTAGAACCGCTGTTTATTCGCGCGCAAGTAAAACATCACTGATATTGCATTGAATTACTGTTGTGTACGACTTTAACTCACCTAGAGCTACAAGAGCCAGGAAATCCTTCAAAGATCCGTATTTTCTGTAAAGAAGAGGTCTGACCGAGAGGTAAGCTCTGTCAATACCTATTGTAACCAGGAGGACTGCTTGGAAGTAGAGTAACCATCTGAAAAAAATTGTAAAGTCACGTACCTTATCAGTACAACCTGTCGATACTACAGCGGGTTTTAACTTGATCTAGGTTTCGGGAATATAAGACTAGGCAAATTAGGGGCCGATAAAATGGGGCTGATAAGGGGGTTACACAGGGGAAGCCATAGTGTTGTCACAGCCAATTAACGGCAAATACTTGCTGAGCTGCAGTATCTGGGGTGATTAGTTGCGAAGTAGCAATGTAACAACTACCTGGCAAGAACAGTGTGGAAGTTGCAGTAAGGTCCCAGTACGTCCTTCCCGATGAAGAGGGCTAGTGTGGTGGGGGCACTGACAGCTCCAGCAAACACCATATCTGCGGGGGACATTCTGGTTAAACCAACCAATGTGTAATTATCAAGCGAATACTGTTCTATCATTGCAGAGCTCTCAGTCAAAATTCTTACCCAAAATGTTAGCACTGATGAGAATTAATCCAAGTTAACAATTGTAATCTTCAAAACTCAGGATGACCTCCTCCACTAAATATCTTACCAGTAATAGAGAGCATGAGGAAGAGAAGTACAGGTTTAGAAAATCGTTTTCTCTTAACAGCACTCAAGCACAAACCAGTCAGGGCTGCTATGTTGGCAGCCACTCCGAACACGGACATCAGACCCATCAGGCAGGCCAGGAAGAGTTGTTCTGCGTGCATCATGCTACTAAAGGAGGGGAGAGAGTTAGAGTCGGGGTCAGATTCATACTGAATTCTTAAAATCAGTTTTTATGTTATACGTCTTGTATGAATTGACAAATTGAATAGGACTAATCGTTCATAAACTACGTATGAAAATGTGAAAAACTCAGAATTAAGTTAGACTAAACTATGAAGTAATGCGAAAGGAAATGCTCCCGAAATTAAATATATCAATCCCACAAATAGCCGAGCAAGCACTTGGTGCTGCTTTTGACATGTCTGCGTGACCGCCAGCACCAAATTTGTCGTGCGTGCAGATTGGTATATCATGGGAGCGACCATGGTTCATCAATTGATACTGATTGGATATTAGATTCCACGAGTATCACATTAATTGTACATTAAAAGACTCTTTGAGTCGGTGCGTTAAGACCCGTGCATGTCCACGAAGATCTTGTTGATTTGTCCACGAACAACACATGTCAAGCGCTGTCAACATATTGCAAACTTAATGAACACAAACTAGTTGCTTGGTAATGGTATACTCCCGGATTAAATTATAACCAGGTCGTTGAACTTATAGTTATAAACGTGACTCATTTAAAATGATCCGGGAGTAGGATCTCTGGTTGTGCTGACCCCACAGCCCACACCTCTGTGTGGTGAACAGCTATCACAGATCATTAAATAAATTTCCATTTCATTTTTAATCACGTATCCAGCTCCACTCAACGATTCACAGAGTCTGTTAACACTGTAAGAATAGATTCCACAAGCGAGGAGAACTGGCTTCAAGATCAGTAAACCGAAAAATAAAAGGATTGTAATATATACACCAGTTCATAGAACTACTACATCCACAAAAATAGAGGCTGACAATGATCGCGATCACATTAAGTAAAATCTCGAAATGATTGCTGTAGTTGTCATTCTATCAGATATCCGAGGGTTACCTACGGTATAACATGTCAAAGTTGCGTCACCTATATTTTCTTTTTATTACCGGTCACCTTTACGGTTCTCATTATTAATATAATATGGCGTAATCAGACACATTTTATAACTAATTACTAACCTTCCTGACCAGTGACCACCTATGATAGAAGGGAATCCTATATATATTTAATATTCAATATATAAAGATATACATTTTTGTCACTATGTCGCCTCGAAATCGCTCGCACAAATATTTTCAAATCTTTTGAAAAGGCCCTGAGGATGCAAAAATAGCGTCATCGATTTTTGTACGGTAAAACACTAATTCGGTTTTTTTTTGGCTTGGGTTAAGCTTAAAGATGTGGTTAGCATTAGCGTTATGGTAAGGGTTAGTAAATTAGTAAAGCCATAAGGTTGGGGTTGGGATTCAGCTAAGAGTAAGACCGTTTCGATCGGCTGCAAAATCGTAAAAACCCAAGTCAAATTTAAATGAGTGAGCAAAATAGTAGGAGTCGCCAGACGTTTTGCAAGTGCGGCAGTGACGGCATTTGTCACCCAGTCAAGATCCTCTTTGACTTTTATAGTGCGTGACAGGTGATCACAGTCGTCGTCACTTCATGGCCTTATTAACTCTCACTTAAACAAATATTGAAACGCGAAGTATTTACCGTCAATTCAGAAGCAATGCAGGCAGAAAGAACTCATCAAACCGCTCCCTAGCGAAATTAAAACATGAGGCTTTGCAGAATACAATAATAATTGTAGCTACCTTCTACAAAGCTACCTTCCACAAAGCCTTGTTTAATTTAACGGAGTGAATCTGGATTCTGGTGTTATAATTATATTGGAATACAGCTCTCGTGAAAAAAGCCAGACTCATTTAGATTATGAGCCTAGAAACAATTTTAAATGAAGTTTTAAAGGAGTTAAACGGTCCCTGCTTCACAAAATTTAACCTATTAATAGGCTAGGAATTGAGCACAGGCGTTAATCGTACAGAGTTCTCATGAACATTTAACTAAATTTAAAAGTCTATTAAATTAAAAGGTATGTGAATTAAGGATTAATATAACTTATATCACGTTCACAAGCTGAGTTTAATTTCACGAGTAATTGTAAACCACAACCGATCATATTGCTATATTGGTCCCGTGAAAATCTTGATGATCGTCAGACACCAAAATATCTTGCAAGAAGTGAATGATTTAAACAATTCTCTGGGCCAACAAGATACTTTGAGATCAACAAAATTAAATGAGCGATATATTCCGACTATCAGCTAAGATTAACCCAAGAAAATTAAAGTCTGCAGGTTAATGCTATAAAGACACCTGTCAAATTATATCTCAACCATACTACTGCTCAACTATCAGGAACTTTATAAATTGGTTATGTCACATCTTCAAATCACTATGAAGATGCGGCTACTGATGAGAAGCCTCCTTAAAGTTTATTTGGGTTAGAAACGACATCTGGGTCCCTACCCTCGCACAAGATTATTCTCAATTTTCTTGTTGTGTCCACAACTATACCGTTGATCAGAGTCACATCTGATGACTTCAGTGAAAGGGCTGATGACTTCAGTGAAAGAGCTGGTGACCTAGTGAAAGTGCTGGTGACGATGAGAAAGACCATAAACCAGGGATTCCTTCGGGAGCATGTAAGATTATATCCAAAGTTTGTTCGCCAATGGGGTGTGTCTGGGTGTCAAAGATCTTCAAGGTGGGTGCTACTTGTGATGAACTCTAGAAGGATGGGATGGTAATACTCGGTCTGGCCGTCTGGAAGCCCATAGAATTCCAGTTCAGAAACCGAGTAAGGAGGTGCGGCTACTGATGAGAAGCCTCCTTAAAGTTTATTTGGGTTAGAAACGACATCTGGGTCCCTACCCTCGCACAAGATTATTCTCAATTTTCTTGTTGTGTCCACAACTATACCGTTGATCAGAGTCACATCTGATGACTTCAGTGAAAGGGCTGATGACTTCAGTGAAAGAGCTGGTGACCTAGTGAAAGTGCTGGTGACGATGAGAAAGACCATAAACCAGGGATTCCTTCGGGAGCATGTAAGATTATATCCAAAGTTTGTTCGCCAATGGGGTGTGTCTGGGTGTCAAAGATCTTCAAGGTGGGTGCTACTTGTGATGAACTCTAGAAGGATGGGATGGTAATACTCGGTCTGGCCGTCTGGAAGCCCATAGAATTCCAGTTCAGAAACCGAGTAAGGAGGTGCGGCTACTGATGAGAAGCCTCCTTAAAGTTTATTTGGGTTAGAAACGACATCTGGGTCCCTACCCTCGCACAAGATTATTCTCAATTTTCTTGTTGTGTCCACAACTATACCGTTGATCAGAGTCACATCTGATGACTTCAGTGAAAGGGCTGATGACTTCAGTGAAAGAGCTGGTGACCTAGTGAAAGTGCTGGTGACGATGAGAAAGACCATAAACCAGGGATTCCTTCGGGAGCATGTAAGATTATATCCAAAGTTTGTTCGCCAATGGGGTGTGTCTGGGTGTCAAAGATCTTCAAGGTGGGTGCTACTTGTGATGAACTCTAGAAGGATGGGATGGTAATACTCGGTCTGGCCGTCTGGAAGCCCATAGAATTCCAGTTCAGAAACCGAGTAAGGAGGTGCGGCTACTGATGAGAAGCCTCCTTAAAGTTTATTTGGGTTAGAAACGACATCTGGGTCCCTACCCTCGCACAAGATTATTCTCAATTTTCTTGTTGTGTCCACAACTATAGCGATCCCTTAAAATTACCAAATTGGTTGATCCGTATAAGTGATTGGTCAAACATTTAAATTTTTAAATCAGCTTTAACCTGAACCTTTTTGATCGAGTGTCACACAAATTATTTATATTTTGATCTCAAAAAAGGACTGATAGTTATGCAAACTAACTATGAAATACTAGTAAGTATGAAGTAATACGTCCGTTCGCCATTCGCTTTCTTAATCTTTTAATGTAATTGTAATCATCAAATTAGTTTCGAATATGATGCAGACTATCTCGATTCTCGAATAATTGGGATAAAATTTAATACTGTCGGGACAGCGACGGTTTAGCAAACCATGTAAGGCTCAGATGCTGAACACGACAAAATTGATTGTCCCAACCCATTATAATCGACGGGAGGATTATGAATTATATATTAACCCAATAAAATAATCATATTATATACACTCGTTTCCGATCTTGTGGTGGTTAAGCCCTTGAAGTTGATATTCTGGTCATGTGATACAGTGATCATCAATATTTTTACTCACCGACGATGCAGATGCAAGTTGCAGTATATTTTTTCTCATTCCGAAGTTGTTTACAAAACATTTAAAGCCCAAATCGGAGAGATATCGTCAAGTTTAAAATATATAATAAATATCAATCCAATCAAATATCCTCTCCGTACTGTATAAAATGATCCCGTAAGATCAAAATTATTGTGACTCAGATGAAGGCTAACTTATGTACTGTCTCTATAAGTATACATTAAAATCTGGCATCAGAGTCTTCAAACGCAAAAAAACGTTTCCATGCAGTGGATGCATTTTAAATCGATTAAGAATGAGCGATAAAATTTCAATATAATTACAAATCAAGACGATACAGAGATACTCCTCACACCGCGCGTTCCACATGAACTTATAACTATATGAGTATTAAAATGAAGTGAGTATTAATAATTTCCCTCACGTTACGACCATAATTTGTAATTGAAGCGCGTGAGGTTGACTTGACATACGTTGCATGCCACTTTTCGGGATACGAAACATGTATCAAAGGTTGACTTACCTGGGGACCCGATACTATATATAATGTTCATAAAAATTCGGCGGAATGACAGGCTGAGCGCTGCCCAGTAAGAGTTTACTTGTAAAATAAATAGCTGTCGTATACCATATTTACTGGGGTCGTCGGCCGATAAGGTATCATAATCATCTGCAAGACGTGGTGTTGCTCATAGTCATCACAGGGAGACTAAAGTGCAAAAAAAACTGCTGTTGACTGCTGCTGACTGCTGCTGACTGCTGCTAACTGCTGCTAACTGCTGCTAACTGCTGCTACAGCTAACTGCTGCTCACTG